CCTGATGGCAGCAGTGCAGGGCAGAGAATGAGAAGCAATCCAGAAAACCAGATCCATCCTTAAAAAACCCGGCCCAAACCCTGCCCCAGCGTTTCTCTGCCCTTTGCCTGGGGCTGCCATCGGGAACACGGGGCTGGGAAGGAGCTGCTGAGTTTTGGGCACAGGCCTTGGCCCAGGGGACACTCAGGGGTTCAGGAAGGGACACGGAGCAGCAATGTGGGTGAGAAAAAGGATGAGCTGGTGATGCTGAATTTGATGCATTTCAAGATTTCCCTATGGACCTCCTGGCAGGCAGGTTGATGGTTTGAGATGTGCTTGAGGCTCCTCCCCGCAGCTAAAGTCATTTCCTCATTATCCTCTGGGCCCAGTGCTCTTCATGATTGAAGAAAATAAGCCAAGAATGCTTAGAGAGACCTAAAAATGGGGGAAAATCTGGGGAAAAGATGCTCAGGTGAGGACAGAAAAGGCATCTCCACCCCGTGCTGGCTCTCCGGCGCTTTTATGTAACGGAGCACGTGGCTCTGCACGTTCCATGTGGGGCTGGACACGGGTTCTCTGACTGCCAGGCTGGAGCATCTCCCTCAAATGATGTCAATCTTCACTGCACTAGCATTACAGCATCATAAAAAATTACAGAGCTGCTATTTTGGGTAGCAGCTCTCTCCGAGTCAGTGAATAAATGCAGCTCCATATGACTCACTCCGGGGGATTATTAATAGACACAAAAGCAGAATGCCAAAACCCCAGGAATATGCTCTGTTCCCACACTGAGCTTTCTAGCTTCTCACAGCAACTGCTCTTGAGAACTTTTTGTCTCAGAAATTAATACACAGACATATTAGAAGAATTAAATATATAAATTTTCTGTTGAACTCGCACCTCGAAGGCTTTAGCAGGGGCTGTTCTGCAGGGATGAAGGATGGTTGCTCCAAGGCCAGGCTCCATCTGGGATGGCAGAGCAGTGGGAGAAAGGGAGTCATTTCAAGAGGGAAGAACCACAGGCTTCTGCTTTTGCTGCCATGGGTGTCTACGATGCTGGTGTTGGAGTTGGCTTCTTATGAAGGAGGTTCACAGTCCCACATGTGTTGATGATGAAGATGATGATCCTGAGGATGATGATGGTGACTCTCCCATCTTCAAACTCAAAGTAAGCATTTCCCTGATTGTCATGTGTGCAGCTAAATTGAAAGAAAATATGAAATTTTTATAAAGCAAAGACACAAAGATTTTTGAATACTATCAACTTTCCCACTTGAAGTACCCTGAGCCTGGGGCTTCTTTCCCTTTGCCACAACAGTACAGTAACAATAACAGGAATTTCACTCAGGCCTTACCCAACTTCTTGATGCCTGATCTCCCCAACATCAAATAAGGTGCCCTTCCAAAGCCATCCCTGCATTTCTTGTCTCCTCTTCCCCAAAATCCTACAGAATTAAACTAAACACAGAGTGATTTCAGCCTGAAAAAGGAGAGTTGCCCAGCAGCAGCAGGACCCAAAGCAGAGTCTTGCACTGTTCGGTTCTCCCAAAAGCATCTTCCATAAAGCCACATTGGCAGAAGTGCCATAAATCTGTGCTTTCTCAGTGAACACCCTAAAAACTGCCTGTACTACACAGTAACCTTGGCTGAGATCAAAGCTTTTGATTTTCCAGAGTGCAAGTGCCATTAGTTACTCCCTGGGCTGGGGCTGCCCCTGACAGGTAAAAGCTTCTTTAGCACAGGGATGTTGCTCAGACTCCCCAACACCCCACAAAGGACCTGAATCAGGGCACTGGTTTTATAATCATGGAATCTCAGAATGGTTTGGACTGGAAGGGACCTTAAAAATAATCTTGTTCCATGGGCAACCTGGAACAATGTTCCTTCCTGCCACGGGCAGGGACACCTTCTGCTATCCCAGCTTGCTCCAAGCCCTGTCCAGCCTGGCCTTGGCACTTCCAGGGATCCAGGGGCAGCCACAGCTGCTCTGGGCACCCTGTGCCAGGGTCCCAGCACCACGGTGGAACTGGAAACATCCTTTTTGTGCAAAGCCCACGTGACATTCGCTATTTGACACACACATCACCCAGCCCCTCCTATCCTGAAGGTCTGGAGTGTCAGCCAGGATGATCTGGAGTTGAGTCATTGCTAGCTCCAAATGAAAGTGACAGGAAATTACTGTTTTACAGACCTGGTAAAACCGAAATAGCCGAGAACAGAATATTTATCTCCAGGCCCATTCCCATGCGATGACAGCGACGTCTTCGGAGTTCAAACGCGTCGTGCTGGTGCTTCATGGACCCCTTGGCTCCCGTCTCATCATCCAGAGTTCAAACCCTCTTGTGCTCTGGGGCCAGTCTTCAGCCTGGCTGTTCTTACACCAAGAAAGAGGCACACCACAAAAAATCCTGGGATTGTTAAAGCACTGCTGCTCCTGCTGTTTACAAGGGCATGGAGAGGTGAGCCAGCCTGGAGCTGTGTGGCCCATCCGTGGCCACCAAGGGCTTGTGGCAGGGGAGGACACAGAGATCCTGCTGGATCCTGGCAGGGAGACCTAATTCAAAAGAACCAAACCTCTGACTGAATGCAAGGGAAGAAATCAATGTTAACTGGGGGGTGGAAGGGGCTGGGAGGGGGCACAGGTGAAGTGGAACTCCCAGTAATTAAACAAGAGATACAACACAGCCCAAGGCTGGGCCTGGGGTCAGCAGCAGCTCCCCAGTTCCCCTCCCAGTGATGGGGCAGGCTCCAAGGAGGAAAACCAGCACCACTCAAAGGGCTCTGACAAAGGAGAAAGCACTTCAAGGGAAGAAGGTTGATGGCAAAACCCCTTCACCACAATTTTCTCCAAGATCTCAGAATGATCTCAGATTCCTGATGTGGAGCTCAGGAAATACTGCATCAACCTCCTAAAGAGAACCTTGGGCCACAAATCACTTCCCTGGCACTTTGAGATGAGCCTTGAAATCCCATTTACAGCCAAGCACAGCATACCAGATAGGAGCAAGCTCTCCTTCTCTTTCCAGCCTCCTCTATTCCGCACTGCTGAATGTATTTGAGCAGAGCAAAGCACTGGGGAGGCAGAGCCCCAAGGAGAGATGCATTTTCAGCCAGAGTAATCTGCTTGTATTATTACAGACCTTTAGCTGCCACATATATTTAGACTTCTATTAGACTCTGCCAGGATTTTGCAAAGGTGGAAGAATCCCAGCAGGTTCCAAACTTCCTGCCCACCCTAGTGCCTCCCAGCCAGCAGCACCACAGCCTATCCAGGCCTTCACAAATATTACCATCTACAGGTCCAGCAGGGAGGCTGGAACTCATCTAGAAGTCTAAAGCACCTGCTGCTGGTTGGAACACAAGCACAGGTAAGATGGGAATTGCTTCTCCTCTCTCACAAAACATCCACCCAAGTGCAGGTCTCCAGTACCACCAGCAGCAGCAAGGAAAATATCAAATACAGGAATTATTAAAACTAAGAGGCAGCTGAAAGACCACAACGTGTCAAACACAGTGCTTGTGTGGGACATTTACACACAAGATGTTCAGCACCTGGACAAGGAAACATTTCAAAACAACAGACCCAACCCCATCACTCCTGCACTTCTGTGAAAGCTTTCCAAAGTGCTTTGCAGAGAAGGGTTTGTGGGAACAAGCCCCAGGACTCTTTATTAATTAAAGTGCTTTAAATAATTGAAATGCACAGTCTCTCGACTCTCCTAAGCGTAGTCACCTGCTCAAGAGCTGGCATAAATTATGGAAAAATATCATATCCAAGAGGAGAGAGACCTCACCTTGAAGAATTCCTCACAAAAGCCAACGTCTCCGTAGCACTGAGAGATGCCACAGCCCCAGAACAGCGATGTGATGGGAGAGAGGCAGAGAAACTTTGTCTCCAGGGAGGCCAGGATGTTTGGGAGGGGCTGCCTGGCCAATGCAGCTGCTCAAATGAGCCAGGATTTAGGGAAATCAGAACTGGCTGGTGACTTTTGACCATTAATGGGATACAGCTGAATATGCTGGACGCTGACACTGAGGTTTTACAGGGGAAGCTGTTGAAGCTCTGGGGTTGTCTGAATCCTGGAACACAGCAACCACTGGGCTCAGACTGAGGCAGCCAGGGGCCTGGGCAGCCTGCAGGGCTGAGAAACAGCTTCTGCCTTTAGGGAACAGGCTGATGTGCAGCCTCACAGCTGCTGCTTGGAAAGCTGCTCCTGCTGGAGCAGCCCTTCAGGACAACTGCCAGGTCTGTCCCCAGTGCTCATCCCCAAAAGCCAAAGGTAAACCCAGTGCAGGGATGGCAGCAGAAGGAGCTGGGGTTTCTGGAGATATCCCAGGTACAGTACAGTACTTACGGGGAATGAAATCTGATGTGGAGTGTCCAGCCCCACTCAGAGCCAACACTCAGGGAAACCTCTTTAGTCAAGAAATTCAGCAGTAATTTAGAGATTTGAAGAGCTCCCAGGTGATCTCTGAGGGGCTTAGATCCTTTAGAGGGATCTGATTTTCAGAAAGCCCAGTGAAAAATGGCCGATATTTGGGCTGAGTGCTCCACTCAAGTGTCAGCCACATGCTAGGAGATGCTGTTAATGCACCCTCAGTCTGGTCCACACCCATCCCACAAATGAAATCAACACAGTGACAGCAAACTAACACTGACAAAGCCTCTCCACTGGGTGCAGTGCAAACCCTGCCCTCATAGGGCATCAAAGCTGGAAGAAATATCAGCACAGGTGACAATCTTCTTTGAAATAATAAATACAAAAGCTGTATTTTTTCCTTTTTTTTAACTCATGACAGCATTTGATAAAAATATTACATCTGCTTTTGAGAAGGTAATATCCTCTCCATTTAATATGGAAAAATAAACTCTACAGGACACACAACACATCCCCCCAGTTGGCACAGAGCTGCTTTAAGAGACCAGATCCACAAGACACATCAAGGCAGAGGAGAGGTTTGGTCTTCCTTGTCCCCATACTCTTAAAACATTGTGTTGTAGGAATGGTAAAAGACAAGAATACATAAAAACAGTAAAATGTTTATTTTCTTAGAAAAAAAGAGATTCAAAATGATTGTGATCACACTCCCATTCGTGCTCAGCAAAGCCAATACTGCAAGCTTAGTCCTTGATTAAGATACCTTCTAAATGAAACTTTTTTTCCTCTTAAAATACAAGTTTCTGCTCCTGTATCACTTCCAGTATTTCAGTGATAACATGCTTTTAATGGATAACAGTTTCTCAGCTTCTTCTCAGCTGAGAAACAAGGCCTGCCATGGCAAAAACATCCCATCTCCAAAGCCTGGAACCACCAGCACTAACAAGCACTCTGGCCCCAACACGGACGGACACACAGCTCAGGGGTGTTTCTTAGATGCTTGGATGTTCACTTATGGAAGCTTGGTATAACACTACCTGTCTGATAGAAAACGGGCCAGAAGCCTCAATAAAATCAACAACGTCTTTTGGATTAACTTTTAAGGATTTGCTGCGTATCTGGACACAGAAAAAAGTGAGAAGTTGCAACAAGTTTTAACTAGCAGCAACAAAAACAGTTCCTTACGAGTTCTTAGCAATATTCCTCATGTGTTCATTAGGAAACACTGTAACTGAATGGAGCATATAATGTGGAAATGGTCTTCTTCTGTTATGGAGTGCTGTTCACCCGAGCAGACGTCCCAAAGGTTGTATCCAGAAGGCTGGGTTGGATCTATTTACACTGGAGGTGCTCCTGGGGCGAGCGCAGAGCTGGCACTATGTGACATCCTCCTCCTCTGAACAGTAGTCACGACCCTGCAGGGACAAAGGCCAGGCAGTTGGTACTTAGAGACAGCACACAGGAATAAATCCAGGCAACACTTACTGAGAGCAGTTCTCTGAACTTGGGGGGGTTAAATTCACAGCTGGGTAGGAACCTCAGACACAGGGAATTTGCAGGAAACCAGGATAGGAGCCACTTCCCTTTCTGTCACTATTAATCTCATAAACACCATTCCCCATATAGTGAATTCAGGAGGGGGGGTGGTCCAACAGACTGATTTACAAACCTGTTTTATGTAAAGATCCACCCTGATGGATGCAGCCCCGAGATTTGTTGTGAAAGGATAATCTCTGAGGCAAAAGCAACAAAGCAGATAATCCTATGAGCAACACAAGGCAGCTGCTGTGAACAAGAATCCCTCATCTGATAACCCCAGCAAATGTTTAACCCCAGAGCAAAAGATGCCATTTGTATTGAAATTATGCTTGTGCTATAGGGGATTCAGCCTAAGCTTCACAAAAGATGGATTTCTTATCAGACCCGTCATGTTATGCCTTTTATCCCGTCCCAAAGGTGTGGAGCAGCATCTCTCTGGGAATTTCCCTTGGGATGGCCTGGAGAAGGCACATCCCATCCCTCCCTACCCAGTTCTTGCAGAGCAGCAAGAAAGGACCTGCTGGGAGCCACTGTCCTTGCCTCCCTACACAAAACCAGCTGGAGCTGAGCTGCTCAGCACAAGCCACCCAGGGGATCCTGCATCAAACAACTGCCTCGAGTGCAGGACCCAAAATCTCAACCTGTGGGCTACTTCCCATTGTTCTGTATGCTGGTGTGCCACCTGAGCACCTGGAGAAGGAGAGCCAGAAAGACAAAAAAAAAAGGGAGAGAAGTTTCATAGGAGTGATCAGTTTATTTGGGACACACAGCTGGGCTGCACATCTGGAATAAAGGCTCCAAAACATCTCTGCAGTCTCAGTGCTGGAGCCCAGACCCAGGAATGTGCAGTGCTCTGACAACTCCCTGTGGCCCAGCACTGAGAGCAGAAGGGTTTTCTAAGTTAAAATAACCCCAAGAGACTCATCAGCCCAAATTCCAACTCAGCAATCACTGACCCAGAAAGAAAGGGGAAAAAAATACATTTTTTTAACTAAAAGCTGTAACTCAGAAGGAACACTGAAATTCTTTGCAGTGAAGCACAGGTCTGTCAGTTTTCTCCAGGCCAGGCACCACAATTGGACAAATCCAGGAGACGGAGCTGGTGGTGACAAAGGCTTTGTCCAAAATGCTTCAGAGCTGTGAAAGGCAGCAGCAGAGACTGAGGGCTGAGCTCAGGGCATTTCCAGGAAATCCCTTTATGTGCTCAAGAGGAACCCCATGGCCCAGCACTCCCCAGTGGTGGCCATCACTGCTATTAAAGCCCCAAGCAGACCCAAATCTGACAGAAAAAAAAGCCATCCTGCACTTTTCTCCTACTCCTCCTGCTGTTCTCCTGCTTCTGGGTTTGCTCCATGGCTGCCAAATGCATCATGGACACCAAGGAACTGCTCCAAACCAATGTGCTGAGCCAGTCCCAGCCATGGCACAGACACACCACCTCCCACAAGGCCTGAAAGCCACCAGGAGCTGGGCTGGTCCTCCCAGACCTGTCACTTCCATCTGCACACTGCTGGGGATGGGGACACATCTGTATCCTTCTGGTGACCTGGCCAGCTCAGGTGATGCCCACACTGCAGTGAGTCCCAAAGGTGCTCAACAGAGCTTTGGTATACATGTTACACCCCAAATTTTTGTCAGTAATAACAAGCTCAGCATTGCTCAGGAAGATCAGAGAAGGAATAAAGTGCCCTGTTGTGACAGCCTGCCCCGCTGCACCAGAAATCCAAGACAAGGGTTGTGCCCTTGATGCTCCTTCGGAGGGCTGCCACTGCCTGGTGGCAGAGGAAAGGCAGCTTCAGCCACAATCCAGTGGAATACTTTAAAATGTCCACTTTTGGCCTGCTGGTTGTTTCAGAGGATGTCTGCCAGATGCTGCAAGAGATGATCCCTTGATCACTGAGAGGCTGCAGTGCCTGAGATGGGGCTGGGAACACCTCATGGGAAATGGTCAGCTAAGAGCTAGCAGAAACCACACTGCTCTAGTGGAGTGTCCCTGCCAGCTATAGGGGTTGACCAGGTGGCCTTTAAAGGTCCCTTCCAACCCAAACCACTCTCTGATTCTACAATTCCATCTTGGCAGTCAAATTCTCTCCAGGGGAGCAGGCTCCTACATCCAGAGGAGCCAAAGGCACAGAGCAGGTGGCTACTAACAGGAATGTATGGGCCAGCCATGGACTAAGTTGTGGGTTCAACCTGCATGGGCCACTCACTTAAAAGTTGGACTCAATGATTCTTGTGGGTCCCTTCCAATTCTGTGATTTCTGAGAAGTTTTAATGATTTAAAGTGTAAATGAACTATGTTGAGGAAGATGAGAACTGTAATATGTGCCTCCAAGTCCAGCTAATCCCTGAGGAATCCCATCTCCCACCTCTGCAGTTTCAAAATACAACTGTCAGCTTTTGTAGACATCCACAGAACACCATAAGTGTTTCTAAATGAGTGAGTGGATTTAAGATAAATTAAAAAGCAGCCTGATGTTCTTTTCCTGCTGCCTGCACCCAAACCAGAAGGGCTCATCCCCCATCTCTCCCCTTGCTGCACCTCCAAAGTGCTCCCCTCCAGGGGATGCTCATGATTTCCTTTTAGGGAATAAAAAGAGAAAGAAAGAACTCGCAGGAAAAAGGCCTTTTCCCCATTGTGTGGGTGACAGGCCAATAAACAACCTGGCTCAAGGGCCTCTTGTGCCTGAGCACTGGGCCAGGCAGGGGGGGACAGGAGGATGGGGATGGAGGGGAAGCAGGGGAGGAGAGGAGAGAGAAGAGGCAGAGGAGGGAGAGGTGGGAGGAGAGGAGGAGGAGGCAGGAGAGGCAGAGGATGGAGAGGGCCGGGAGCCGCAGCCCTTTCTCCTGTGGTCTGGCAGGGCTGGGGACACAGTGGTCCCTTTTCATCAGGGGGATTTTCATCAGGCTGGTTTTGTTTACAGGGCTCCCAGAAAGGACGGGAAGAAAATGCCGGGAGGCGGCACTAAATCACTGCATACTGCGCTGGTTTTTGTCCGTCTCGCGTTTTGTTGGGGAAAAATCAATGGAGTCATTAAGAGCAATCCACTTTGCTAATGAGGCTGGCAGGGGCTGCTCCCAAGGGCACTCCCTGGCTCCATCCCACCCAAGGAGCTGCTCCCTGCTCTCCCTGCTGCCATGCCCCGTCACCACGGAGGGATGCAGGAGCTGCAGCCGGGCATCCTCCCCTGCGGCTGCCTGTTCTCCCAGCAGCTCCCGAGGCCAGGGGAGTGCGCTGGGGGAGAAATCCCTGCACACCCACCCCAGCACAAGCGGTGCTCAAACAGCTGACCCGCAGTGACATCCCCCATGGGGATGGCAACACCGTGTCCCAGGCTCGGGGTTCCCATCAGAGCTCACAGCAACGCATCTCATTTTGTAATCTCATTTTTGCCCATGAGCATGTTTGCGTTGTGATTATTTTTTACAAACCACTGTAGTCACTGTAGACAGTTTATGGTAACAGGACCAGTGATGGTTTTCCTCTGGTACAGCTGCCCAGGATTGTTTTGCCATGGACCCTTTTGAACCAGAAAGCCAGAAGTGCTTCTCGTGTGGGGTTACAATCCCCAGATATAATCCCAGGAATTGCCTGTCAATTGTTCCATCACCCCTCAGCCTTTTGCCTACAGGGAGGCAGTTGCTTACACATTGTTCTCCAGCAGTAACATGCACTTCAAGGAGAATTCCTCCAGACCATTGTACTGCTCCATGCAGGATTCAGAGACAGCACTTGTTTTCCCAACCATTTTCCAGGACAGCCACCAAAAAGATGTTTTTGCTAGCAAGCACTAAATGGGTATTTTTTTTCACAGCCAGCACTTTGTATGTTATAGCTTTTAATTTCTATTTCTATTGATTTCATGCAAGCCCTGATGGGACAGGGCTCCTTCAAGGCAGCGGATTTGAGCTTGCAGGGCTCTGCCCAGGATCAACTCTGCTCTGAGCCACCCTGTACAGTTCATGGAATCCCAGAAGGGTTTGGGTGAGAAGGGGATCTTAAAGCTCATCCCAGTTCCACCCCCTGCCATGGGCAGGGACACCTTCCACCAGCCCAGGTTGCTCCAAGCCCCATCCAGCCTGGCCTTGGGCACTGCCAGGCATCCAGGGGCAGCCACAGCTGCTCTGGGCACCCTGTGCCAGGGTCTGCCCACCCTGACAGGGAAGAATTCCTTCCCAATATCTCATCCAACCACCCTCTGGCAGTGGGAAGCCATTCCCCCTTTTCCAATGGTACTCCAGGCCCCTGTCCCAAGTCCCTCTCCAGCAATAGGTCTATGTCCTTCCTGTGCTGCCATTTCTTTTCACAGGGTAATGTGGAATTTGCATGGAGCCCTGTGGAATCAGGGTCCAAAAATTTTTGAGATGTAGAAAGAAGAAAAAAACCAACCAAAGTCTGGAGAAACTTTAGGAGAGACAGGTTAATCCTTCATCGTGTGTTTCACTGCAAATCTTTTTCTGTCCAAATGCAACATCTGACTAAATTAGACCTTGATGTATCAGATTGGAGAGAACCCAGGTCATTAATTTACTTGCCTGAATACCAACACAAATGGCCTGATACCAGGACATGTTTCTATCTTCTTAATCAGAGCTGATAGTTCAGAACCAGATTTATCCCACCACAGTGGGAGTGCAGTGATTGTCCCAATCCCAACTGCAGCCAGTGGAGCCCATTTCTCGTCTGCTGGGCACAGCCCAGCTCAGATTTATCCAGCAGCAGCAGAGCTTCCTTTAGGAGGGAAGCTCTCTGCTTCCTTCTCTGCTCTCCAAAGCCATATTTCTGTGTATTTCTGCCTGCATCTCTCAGGTCAAGCAAATCACTTGTACTCCTGACCCACATCTTCCTAATTTACTCCAGGGAATGCTCTCCTCGAGCTTAATTGCTGCTATTACCTGTTGCTCATCCTCCACTGGAATATATTTCTGTGATTTCAGGCTAATTTTCACTAAATTATGATAATGCTGACAGCAGATGAGCTGCCTCCTTCCCACTGCCTGTCTCTGTTCCATTTCCCCCAAACTCTGGAACACTTGTGCTTTCTGTCTCCCAGAGCAGAGCCTGTGACTCTCCTCCCAACAACTTCAGTGAGTGGGAAGCCCCAGGAGGACTCGCTGCAGCTGCTGCCAGATGTTGGGAACATTTCTGAGCCTGCTCTGCCACCACTCAGGGCCTTGTGCTGCACACAGGCCCTTGGTCTTCCCCTTTGCTCTCCTCTCCATGGTCTGCCACAAGTGTTTGGACAAGGCTCTCAGGCACGTGGTGGGATCCTTGGGGCTGTCCTGTGAGCTGGACTCCATGGTCCCTGTGGGTCTGTGCCAGCTCAGGATATTGTAACTACAGCTACAGTTGTACAGCAACTACAGCTTCCTGTGCTGCTGACTGCTCAGCTCCCTCCAGCTGCTCCCAGTCTCCCATCTAACCTCTAACTCTGGGTTCTCATCCACCTTGGGAGTATTTTTACCTGCAATGCTCATGTTTCTGAAAGGACTGGGTTGACTCCAGCAGAACCAGTATCCCAGCCTATGTTGGAGGCTGACTTCCAGATTCTCAGTCAGTCCTACTCCAGCCCTCATCCCAGTATTTCTTCCTTCCAGCAAACCCTTTGAATGGCACTACCACCACCACAGGCAGTTCTGTACCTGCCAGCTCAGCTCCAGCTCCTGAAGCAGGGACAGACTCACTCAGAGACAGAGCAGATGTCCCCTTCTGAACGACTCACAGAGTTTTGACACTGAATTTTGGTAGACAGAAGCTCCATGCTTCATGACATTCTGGTTTTTACCTTCGGGTGACATTTGCAGGAGGCAGTGGAGCTTCGTAGGAGCAGCCAGGAATGCAGTACTGGAGCAGGACTTCCAGAGAAACTCTCCAGAATGTTTCAGTAAGGCTTTTTTTGATCTCCAGGACTCAAACACTTCCTGTTTGCAGCTGACAAAACACCAGCCCGTGTTCTTTCACACTCTGGCTGCAGGAGCTTTATTGCACAGAATGGCTGTGCAGTCCAAGCCCCCATGTATGCTCCTGCCTAATGCTCTCATGTCTGAGCAGTTTTGGGCACTTGGGTTTGGTGACCCAGCATCCCTGGGGATCTCAGTGGAGCTGAGGCTGTTTTGCTCCTGACTGGAGTTTCTGCAGCACAGCCCACGGGGTCTCCATCACAAATCCAAAGCCATGGTAACCATGGGAACACCACAAGGTTTGGGACCTCACCAGCCACAGGCAACACCCCCAACACGTCCACAGGCTTTGTCAGCTGCCACTGACACAATCCTTCTAAATGTCTGACTGCTGTCCTCCATCTCCCTGGAGAAGGGACTGAAAATGCTATTTAAGGATCAGACAAAACCCCTTATACTTCCCAATCTTTTTTGGCATTTGTGACAACATCTAGAGAAAAAATGAATTCTGAGCAAAGATGAATTAAAAACCCCCAAACTCCTCTAATGATGATTATTTCCTCAGGCACAGGAGGTCCCCAGGGAACACAAATCCCACATTCAGCTGCACATTAACTCCTGCCAATCCCATCAGCTGTCAGCAACTTGGTCTCTTTGACAGATAAACTGTGGATTTCCTCTGAACAGACAATCTCCTGATCCCAAAGATAAATTATCCCCAAGATAAATGAGCCCTGGAGATCACCTGGGAACATCTCAAAGTGGATCCAAACAGCTCCAACCACAGGAGACAGGGTCAGCTGCACCTCAGCATGGCAGCTGGGAATGAGGGTTTAGTGCCCTGCCACTGACCTTGGGAACAAAAATTAACCAAAATGCATAATTAGATGCAGGCATTGTCTGGTCTGCAGATAAGATACATCTTTGGAAAATCCATTTTACTGGAGATTCAGTGCTCAACATTTTGGAAGGTGATGATGTCCAGGAAAAGCATCTGAATATTCATAGAGTGAATGCATTTACTCAAAGGAGATATAGCTGTATTATGGCTATGTAGAAATTCTACCTTTAAATGCATTAGCTTACATAAAATCTTACCCCTGTGAAACACTGGGTACAGAAATATTCTTCTCAGGAATCTATGAACTCCTCACTTTTACTCTTCCCCTTTATGTCTTCTTTTGTTTTCATAATTTTTGTTTTTTAAGAGGAAAGTAACAAACGTGTTGCTTGGGACAAATATGAGATGCACCCACTGCAGCACTCTGACTCCTAGGACCAGGAGTGCTGGCAAAAAACCCAGAAGTTCAGAGCCACGCATGTAAAAATTTCCCTTCCATTCTGCAACCCAACATGACAACTTAATAGAACAGAAAATAACAGACTAGACTAGACTAGACTAGAAGTATTTCATTTGGAGGGCACCTACAATCATCAACTGCCTGAGCACTGCAGGGCTGATCAGAAATTACAGTGTCTTGTTAAGGGCATTGTCCAACTATCTTGGACACTGACAGGCCTGGGGCACCCACCAACTCTATGGGAAGCTTGTTCCAGTGTCTGACTTCCCTTTCCATAAAGGAATGCTTCCTCACATCCAGTCTGAAACTGGGAGCACAAATTGGTACTCAGTGTACTGCTGATCAGTAATCAGTACTCAGCACAAATTAGTTCCTCAGTGTACTGCTACTGAGGAAGCAAATATTTAATATAAAGTATTTAAACAAGATGCACAACCCCAAAATAGGCAGTGTAAAGAGTAAATTGGTGTGTGAACATCAGCCCCCCCATCTCCCTTAGCCACTCGAGCTGTGCTCCAGCTCCTTCACTGCTGTCTCACAAAGAAGCCAAGGGTGTCATTTAAAAGCTTTCTGAAACACACAAAAGCTGCTCTAGGGACAGCTGAGATATGCAAAGAATTATTCATCCTCTTCTCCAAAACATCTCCAGCACCATTAATTCACTGGCACAGCCCTGGGGCAGGGTACCCACACTTACAGCCACACCATCCCTTGGAGCCAGTGGCTATTTCAAGGAGATTCAGCAAGAATTCCTGGGGTATCCCAGGTACTACAGCATTAACACTCCAGCTGTCTCCCAGTGAGATGCAAAATCAAACCAACAATGATATAAAATCCCACTTTGCTCTTCACCTTTACCCAGCATGTATATCCTGAACATCTGAGTTGGCCTGCCATGAATCCCAGACTGATGACATTCCCACAAAACAAAGGATTCTCTCAGTACCTCCTGCAAACTCTACACCCTCCTGGTCTTCTTTGCTTTTGAACTATCAAACCAAGGAGCTGGAAGGGAAATCTTGGGCCAGACCCCTCCAAATCATGGAGAACACAGGGAGCTGCAGCAGGCAGGTCCCTGTCCTCCCCATGAAGCTGTGCCCACCCCTGAGGGAGACTGGATGTTCACATGACTGTGTCTTACCTTTTCAATTTTTTCATCAAGCATTCTGAAGAACTCTTGTTGGCTTTCGGAGATGTGCATGCTGGAAGGCAAAGGAACAGTATCAATACCAACAGGATTTCTTCCATTATAAAACATCCCAGGGATGTTGAGGGGCCCAGCTGTCACCTTCCACCACCATGAAAAATAAATCACTTTATGCTTTCCTCTGCAATGTCAATTTTTAGTCTTTTTCCCCCCTATTTTTTGTTTTCCCACGAAAAATTACTGCTTTTAGCTCTGTGTACATGTGCAACACTTGGGGTGGTAACTGGGATGGATCCACTTACATCCAGAGGAGACTGTTCCCTTTTCCAGGCTGACTGCAGAAGTTGATAGCACAGTACCTCTGCCTCTGAGAGGGAGAGTGAGAGCCCCCTCTCCTTCAGGACAGGAGGTTCTCCAGGACTGCCAACTTCACCAGCACAGAATGAGATACACACAGCATGAGGTTAAAGACTGTGTCCTCTTGTCCTGCCACTTGTTATGGGGAGAAGAGACTGACAACTGCTACAGCCTCCTGTCAGGAGCTGTGCAGAGCCACAAGGTCCCCCCTGAGCCTCCTTTTCTCCAGGCTGAGCCCCTTCCCAGCACCCTCAGCCACTCCTGGTGCTCCAGCCCCTTCACTTCAACTAATGCTTCAGCACCAAGAGGCTCAGTGATATGATTTTGCATTAGTAAAGAGAGCTGGAAAATACTCTTTTTTCTTTGTCTGTAAAACACTGATGGTCACATGAGGCTACAGGTCCTTCCCCATGGGGAACTTGCAAGCTAAAAACACAGAAAGGATGAGGACACAAGGGTGAGGATGGATGTCAGGTGGCATTTGGGGGATGGTGAGAGCCTCCCTCCTGCAGGAGTAACACCCCTCCAGGAAGGTGAGGCTGGAGCATCCTCTGGACCCGCAGCAGGGAGGAGCACTGGGCTCACAGGCAGCTGGGGAAATGTGCCAGGGACTCCATGTGCACCACAAAAAGATGCAAAAAGGGGAGGATGGGGACCGGAGCCAGCGGTGACAGTGCTGCCAAACGGTCAGAAGGACACACAGCTCTTGGAGATTTGCCCCAGCACAGAAAGCTGGCTGGGCTTGCTGAATTCCCAGCCATCCCCTCTTCCTCAGAGTGATCCTTTCAGCTGGAATGAGTTAATGCTCCCCCTAAGTGCCCCACAACGGGCTGCACTTCCCCACAAAGCTCAGCATTGAGCCCCCCCTGCTATCGGCTGAACGTATACAAAGATCTGCTTATGTGGGACATAAATGAAGCTCAGTTCACATGAGGAGGGCTCAGAAATGGCATTAAAACCTAAAGCTGGTGATTCAGGAGCAGGAACAATTCACTTTTCAGTGGTTGAGGGAGTTCCTGTCCCCAGCTGTCTGCCTGTTCCTCTTCTTTCCACCTCCACCTCAGATGGGGAAGAGATGCTTTTTTTGGGACAGCTGACCCCATCACCTGCATATTCAGGTGCCTTGGAGAGGGATTTTAGAGCAGTGCAGTGCTTTTTGAATAGGCAAGTGCTTGAAAAATACTCTTGCCTTTACAAGTTCCTAATAAAATGAGATAATACTATAGTGATTCACCCCAACCATAATTCGTAAGAGAACTAAGAGAAGGCAGGAGAAGAAAAAAGGAGTAAAAGGAGTATTGTGTAGTCATATCCCTGAAAATGCCCACAGGGTATTTCTACAGATCTAGTCTAGTGGAAGGTGTCCCTGCCCATGGCAGGAAGCTTGGGTTAGCTGATTTTTCATGTGCCAACCCAAACCATTCTGAGAGTTTGTGATTTGGCAGGGTAAAACTGGTCTGAAATAACCACTTTCATTTGATGCTTCAGGCTGCTGTCACTCCCTCAGTTATGACCTTGTCCCAGGGTAGTTGGTGGGTGTGTTTGATCATTCAAGGTGTCAGGGGGGTGAGTTTGGTGATGAACAGACAGAGCAGTGCCTGTGAGGTTGGGGCAGGGTGCAGGAGGAAGCCCTGAAGGTGTGGCAGGTACCAGGACTGGGTGTAAAGAGGAAGGACCAACCCTTCTCCCTCTGCCAAAGACCCCCATAAAGTACTGCTGGCTCTCTACATCCCCTGGTTTTGAAGCCCAGGGCTCTTGATGGAAAAATCTAAATCCTCCTGCAGGGAGAAGAGCCCTCATAATCTTACTTTTCAGCTGACATCAAAATATTGTCAAATAATTGTAAAGTAGCAAATTTATAATTTGGTACTTAGTCCATGTTTTGTTTAGAAGTAACATCCATTGTACCAGAACAGTACTGTAAGATGCAATTAATGATCAATCTGTTAATTTCTGCTCTTCCAGCTCAGTAGACCTTTCCTACCCAATGCCACCCCACCTTGCAGTCAGAATTAGCATGGTTTTTAGATAATAAACCTTAAAAAAATATTGTACACTGTAACAGCTGTTTGCTGACTTGGCAATTAGCAACTCAAACACATGAGCCCACTTCATAAACAGAAATTCAGTGGTAGGTTGGGCAAACACTGGAGAATCTACCCAACAACCTTATGTTACATTCTGCACCTCTCTGGGAAGTTTCCTTATTTCTGCAGGTCTGTGACAGAAATATTTATCTCTGTCAATGCAATGTAAAAAACAGGCTTTTTGGTCAGCTCTGAATTTGCAGGGTCTTTTCAAATTACAGTTTTATGAAGGAATGGAAGCCCTGGCCTCATGCAATTCCTCTGCTGTGGATGTACCAAAAGATGACCCACCAAAAGAACAGCCCTTTTTTATCCCAAAGTAATTAGCCACATGTTAGAGCATGTTAAATATATCTCTGACCCTGCTGGGAAGGACTGAGCCACAATAATGAAGCACAGCTTTGCTGAAGGAGTGCTTCTACCTCCACCTCCCTACCACGAATTTCTTTGCAATTACATCCAAAGCACTTGGCTTTTCCCTTTGAAAAGAGGCTGAATTGCACTGTCAGCTGATTAGGAAATAACTACAGTTTCCAGACTTGAAATAGTGCTCAAAGCACTTGATAGGCAGCAAGTTTAAGTTAGTAAGTGCCCTGAGGGCAGGGCACAAGGAACAGCATTTCCACTGGTGCTCAAAACCCAAATCACAAACCTTTATCACTTGTTCTTCACGAACCCAATATGTGGCTCTGTGTAATCAGTTATTCCTCAGCCAATTAGTGATTAAAATGTAACTGAAAAGAAATTACTTACTACTATCAATAACCAGCTCTGCCACAGGAGGCAAATATTTCATGTAACACTGACTGACTCCAGGCAGAGCATGGGCACAGAACTGCCAACCAAGCAAGGAAGAACAACCTTCATTTTAACAACCTGACCATTCCCAGTCCCTGGCACAACAGCTGCTAATCTACACCAGGAGCTAGCAAAAACCTCCCTGGGACTGACCCACTTGTATTTAGGAACACCAGTGGATATAGAGAAGTTTGCTCTGCGTAAGTTGTATAGAGAGCTGAGAAATAGCACAGGGTTTTCTGTTGGGCACAGCAGGATGCATCTCACCTTTTCTCAAGTCCTGCATCTTTGCTGTGCAAAGGAGAGGATGCTTCCCAATCTTGGGACACAGGTGCTCTTACCTCTAGTACTTAACTCAGCATGACTTTAGGGCTGCTGGGTCATTTGTTCTTTGCCTAGGCAGTAATTGTGAACCTCACAGACACTGCTTCTGTTTATTTGTATTATTTAAACAACAGAAATTGAACTTACTTTGCTCTGGGTTGATGTACTAATCCTGGGATCTCTTTATTAGATTTAAGTCTTGTGTTTGAACTGGCACTTTTTTCCTGAAACACACAAAAAGCACACAACAGCATCAGTATTTATTAAGCACACAGAGGTGACAGGCATTTGTCATAAAGGTGTCACACTCGGCTGGGTCCAGCCTCAGCTGAATGAGAAAAGCTCAGCAAAAATGAAATTAAAGATAACACAGGAGATGAAATGACCCCAGGTGGGCAATTTTTAAACACCCTGGGCTCGGTGGCATGTGGAATTGCCTCTGGGTCACTGGATGAAATCCAGGGATCAAACTCCACGCTGGCTGGTAACTCTCCAGCGGCCCATGGAAAATGGGGGGTGCTCATAGAAATCAATAACAACACCAGCCTCCACCTGCACCAGAGCAAGGCAAAGCACTGGGAAGGCAGTCCCAGAGTCACCCAGCACCCCCAGGCTGGCTCACAACAGGGTGGGGAAACATCAGCAGCAAGGAACTGTCTGCAGGAGGAAGTACATGTCAGATGTGCCAGGGAAGAACAGCAACTGCTCAGCCACAAAACTGGGCACAAGGGGCCCAAAGAAGCAAATCAGCTCTGAAGATCCCCAAAATTAGCATGTGGGGCTGCTGGAGAGAGTCCAGAGAAGGCTACAGAGATGTGCCAAGGGCTGGAGCTCCTCTGCTCTGGAGCCAGGCTGGGAGAGCTGGGGGTGTTCACCTGGAGAAGGCTCTGGGGACACCTCAGAGCCCCTTCCAGTGCCTAAAGGGGCTCCAGGAGAGCTGGAGAGGGACTTGGGACAAGGGATGGAGGGAAAAGACAAGGAGAAATGGCTTCTTTCTGCCAGAGGGCAGGGTCAGATGGGACACTGGAAGGAATCCTTCCCTGTGAGGGTGGACAGGCCCTGGCACAGGGTGCCCAGAGAAGCTGTGGCTGCCCCTGGATCCCTGGCAGTGTCCAAGGCCAGGCTGGATGGGGCTTGGAGCAATCTGGGCTGGTGGAAGGTGTCCCTGCCACAGCAGGGGGTGTGATGGGATGGGCTTTGAGGTTCCTTCCAAGACAAACCAGTCTGTGTTTATAGGCAAGAACACAACCCTGTCCTTTCCAGAGGACTAGAACCATTAAAAACATCTTTAAAAAGGCCTAGGAGGGGAGAGTTGAGAGCCAGCACTGCTTAGTGAGACCTCCTCATCATGTCATGAGCTTCTATAACTCATAATTTAGTGCAAACACGTGTCTATTGTTTCCCCTAATCCTTCAGAGGGATACAGTCTCTTCCAGATCTTCCCAGTGCCATGTGTTAGGGAAAGCTGCTGGTGCAGATGGGAGAGGTCTGAGTCAAATCTTACAGCTCACACACTCCACAAATCCCTCTGTCTTTCTTAGGCATGTCACACCCATAGCAATTTAAGAAACATAAACCCAAGAATCAGTGTTTTTGTGGGTAATTTTGGTAATTTTATTTAGCCTTATTTAGTCTTTGAATTTCTGAATCACACAAGATTTTGGAAAAGGCTACTAAATCATTGAATTAAAAAAAAAAAAAAAAGGAGGCTTTCTAGCTGTTAATATTTTAATGAATAATTCTACAAGGGCTGTAAACATCAACTGCCTTGGCATATTTAACACTGTTTAATGCATATCTTCTAATCCTCCTAACCAGGGAACAGTGCCTTGCATGAAAATAGCAGTGAGAGAGAAACAAGCCCTTCTTCCAGCCTTAACAAGGGTGTCTGTGTTTGCTACACCCCACCAGCCACTGCCTGCTCAGGATCCTGTGATATCACACCACAGCAGCAGAACAAAAACCAAAATCACTTTTTTCAAAGCATCTTCCAGTCTTAACAGTGCTAGGAGGGTGTGACATGTACATTTGTGTGTGATGAACACCTGTACACAGAGACACAACCCATGAGCTCACATCTGACTCACACGGCTGTCAAAGCAAAAAAAAGAGAGGGATGGGTCTCATGGAGAAGACAACAAAGCCATAAATCAGCTAAACCCCAGCCTCCTGAACCTTTACCCTCAGATCCACTCCATGGGATGGGAAGGGGAAGGGAAGACTCTGATCTACAGCTCCTGTGTTGGTAGCTGTGATAAATCAAGGCAGCACAAGCTCAGCTTTCCACATCTCTGCTCATGGATGGTGTCAGTGCAGCTCTATCAAGAGCTGGAGTCAGTCCAAATCCCAGCCCAAAGAAACTTCTGGCACTTAGGAACAAATAGACACAAGAAAAGTATATGCTGTCTTCTCACTGTGGGTCCCAGAGCAATATGCAGAATATTAACTGACACGCATGGGAAAAGAGAAATAAAATTCCTGTTTAGTTGACTTCAAGATTCCAGAGTTTACTCTTTCCCTCCTGTTGCTCCTGATAATTACCACACCTCAATTATCTTTTACAATTCTCCTGTTTAAGCAAAGAGTATGTTACCTTCTCCATCTGTTGCTCAGCAGGAACAGACAGAAAAGGAAGAGTTAAGAGAAAAAAATTAAACCCAACCAGGTCTCAAATTGGCTCACTGCTTTGTTTATAACTCTTATTTACAGCAGTGATATTTCACTGCACTGATCGAAATATTGGCTTGGATAAAAATAGATATTCAAAAATAATTCTTCCAAATGCAAACAAATAGAATAATTTTTCCTCATAGCTTTGAAGACACACTGACTCATCAGAAATTAATGGCTTGGCTTCTAATACCAAGCTAACAAAAACACCTTGAAATGCTTTAATGCAGTCAGATTGTTCTTCCAGACTGACTTGACTTTGGCTGAAGGGTCACTTCTGGCAGTCCAACCTAATTTTCTCCCTTATTTAACATGGTAAGTAAGTTACCATGCACCAAAAGAACACAACTGGTTTTAGAGACCTAATCTGTTGTAAATTGAAATGAATATGCAGAAGTTTGGTTTTAATCTAGCTCTGCTTCTAAGGATTATTTACAATAAATGCAGTAAATGCTGCCTCACACCACAGGCTTGAAAGGAAATCCCCCAGCATGCTGCACTTGTAGAGCAGCAGTGGCAAAAAAGGAGAATAGTGGACATTTTATTCCACATTATTTTGCAATTAATCATTATCAAGGTAAGGCTGTCATCCAATCAAGGTGATTTCATGTGATAGATTTGTTAATTATTGTTAATTCCTCCATAAAGGATGCACCATCTCCAGGATTTCAGGGCACTAACAGATGGCAGTGACTCTGCTGCCAGATGCTATTAACACAGCAACAGCCACTACTGCCATTATAATTAAATATCTGTCAACATTTCCCTTGATGCCTCCCCTCTGATGAGCCCATTTCTAGAGACATGTGAACTTCATTTCAAGTATTTTGCTTTTCTTCATAAGGCTGCCACAGATTGACTCAAGTAAGCTGCTAACAGTCCTTATAAAATAATTTTCCTGATTTATATCAAGATGACACTTTTCTTCAAAGGCGCCAACTGCACCTTTAGCTGCTTTCTAGACCCAAGCAAATCATCATTAAAGTCAGTTAGAGGAAAAATGAAGGATTTGTTTTCTTTTTATGCCATAAAATATTCTTAAAAATAATTGTAATTGAAAAGCTGGAACCAAATGCATCAGTTAGAAATGGACTGAATGATGAGATGTTAAATTTCAATATGCCAGCCCAGCGCTTTTTGACCTCACTCAGTCATGAGCACCAGCCTCAGGTAGTAATATCTCACATGGGCTGTCTGATCCATCAGGATGAACAAGGGAGAAGCACTGACCCATGAGATTTACTCAAGTTTCTTGCTTTCTGTGCACGTAAGGGCTCATTTTTTGTGCTATCCTTGGCAGGAAGAGAGCCTTTCTCTCTTTTCCTCTACCTACCTAGAAGCAAAACCACCTGAAAACATTATTTAGGGTAACTTTATAATGAAGGGGCAAATCAAATATGGAAAAATCTCAGATTCTAGCCAAAGGAGATTATTCTTGGATAAAATTTCATCCGAGGAATCACATTAGCCCTGCCAGAATGTGTCCTGGCATGGCATGGATGGTGCTGACACAGGAGTCTGCTCTCCTCCTCTCAGATCCCCACCAGGAATGAGGGATGACGAAAACCACGGACCCATCTGACCATGGGCTTTGGGAGCCAGGATGGGCTCACAGGATCACAAAACATCCTCACTTGGAATGAGCCCACAATGATCCTGTCCTGCACAGGACACCCTCAGAACCACACCACGAGGTCCAGATGCACATCACCTCCACAATGTACACCAGACCCTAGAGCCAGGGCTTAGCAGTGAATTTAAGCATCAGGGCACATGGGCAGGAATGGATCCTTGTGCTCAGAAGACACCCAACAAAGCCATGGTCACCACAGTGCCTTGGCTGTCCTGCTGCTGGAGCACCTTGATCCTCGCAGGGAGGACTTGAAAACATGGCTGGTATCTGTGCATTTGGGTGAAGCTCGAGGTCACATTTCGTAATAAAAACCTTGTCTTAAGGAATGTTTTAACACTCTTGCTGTGTCAGGTCAGGATCTCCTCAGCCCAGCATGAAGGAGTTGCCCAAGAGGCCCCACCCCTGTCAGTGTCTCCATCCCTGGAGATGTCTCAAAGCTGTCTGGACCTGACTCTGGGCAGGAGGTTCTAGGTAGCCCTGCTTGAGTCACGGGGCTGGACTAGAAGACATCCAGAGGTCTCTTCTAACCTCATCCAGCCTTTAGTTCTGTGATAAATCATAGTCAGAGCCTGGACAAAAACCACTTTTGAGTAGGTTTGTTGAGTTTTATCCCCAAGCAGCAGCGGGAGAGACTGAGGCCATTCAGGCATGCAAAGGGAAGGCAGCAGCAGACACAGGGCCTGGCATTCATTTTAGGAAAAAACCCAATTCTGCAAAGCCAGCCAGCATCACGCAGCGAGTCTGCACTGACACAGGGAGTTAACCCAGGCTTGGCAGGGAAAAATCCTGTGCTTTCATCAGGGATCCAAAACGTGTTCCAGAGGGCAGACCTCATCCTGAAACCAGCCACTTAATGGAGCTCCTCCTTCCCAGGGAAACTACTGGGAAATTCTTCTGTAGGAACTCCAGCCCCTGGAATAC